TTCAATAACTGCAGTTCCTCCCATCACTGCCAGATGTCACTGCAGCACCAATCCTAGAGGGGATCAGCTGTCACCTTCTGCAAACTGGTTTTCATTTGAAAAGTCCCCCTTCCAGTCTCCCAGATTGCCATTGGGGTCCTGTCCTGAATGGAGGGCCAGGATATCTCTCTCTCTCTCTCTCTCTCACACACACACACACACACACACAAACTCCCCTGCTGCGTGATGCTTCCCTTGTGAGGGCGAATAGCAGAAGAGAGGCAGTGTGTGGGGAAACTGAGCACACAGCAAATTCCTCCCCTTCCATTTCGGGGCATGCATATAGACAATGGGGAGATTGCATTTTTGCAGGTGTGATTGTCAATGGAGATCCCGGGGTGTTAGCTAAATCTAGTCAATGAATCTGGAGTACGCTCACAGGAGACAGACTTGATCATGAGAGGGGGAAATCTTACATATTACCAATTTTAGTTTAGCAGAATATTTGAAAGCCCCGAAATGTCTGCCAGAATACATTTGCAATCTGATTTAGAATGTTAATAATCTGGTACATAACACCAGTGCAGTTAGGGAAAATGTACAAAACTAGTTCAAATATATGTTGGAAGTGTAAGGAAAAGGAGGGAACATTTTATCATATGTGGTGGGATTGTAAAGTAATTTTAAAAATTTGGGAAATGATATACAATGAATTGAAGAAAATGTTCCATTTAACATTTGTTAAAAACCCGAGGCATTTTTGTTGGGGATTGTAGGGAAAGACCTGCCAAAAAAGTTGAAAAACATCTTCATGTATGCGACAACGGCCGCAAGAGTTCTGGTAGCACAAGGATGGAAGACTGAAGAAACCCCAACTAAAGAATCATGGCAAGAAAAATTGATGGACTATGCAGAACTGGCAAAATTGACATATAAGTTACGGGACAAGGATAACTGTGACTTTAAGGATGAATGGGAACCTTTCACAAAATATTTGAAGTATTTCACGCAGCAAAGTGAACTGGACTCCTTGGCAGGTTTTGAATAAACATTCACAATTTTTTTACTGATAATAATTAGCTAAACACTTTGAGGATCTATACAACTGTGTAACATGCAGAAAATAGCATTATTGGAGAAACCAAAGACTGGAATTGAGGGAAGTTGGGGGTTGGGGTTGGGGTGATGGGTTCTGTGGGGGGGAGGGGGGAGGAAAAATGGGGGGGATATGGATATGTTATTGGAAAATATGTTTTGTTATAACTTTAATAATAATAATAATAATAATAATAATTTTAAAAAATAGAATGTTAATAATCTGAATAAATGGTTGAAACTGAACCATTTGGCTAAGCTTCCCAGCCATCCTAGTCAATGTAGAGTAGTGGTTAGGGTGTTGGACTTTGAGAGATCTCTGCTTGAGTTCTTGGGCAGCCGTTGCCAGTCAGAATCCTGGGAAAGATGACCCCAAGGACTTCTCTGGAGTAAGGCAGGTTTATAGGCAGACTCTTCCACAGAAGCTTGCCTGGTGCTACCATCAGTTTGGCCACCTGACAGTTCTGGATCGCAGAGAGGGGCCTGACCTGATCTGGGGCTGTCTCGACCCAGCTTGACCCAAGCCCAGATCCCTCTGAACTGGCTCAGGATTTGGGCTGATGGCTGCCTGGTGAAGGACCCTGTGTGAGAGGCAGGGAAGTGAGGCAGGGAAGTAAGGATCTTCCAAGGTGGGAAGCTGGGAGAAGAAAGAGAATCTCCCAGGTGAGAGCTGGGAGGCTCCACCCCCTTCTGTGCGCGTTAAGAGTTAAGATCTACCTGTCAGAGATGACTTTGCACCTTTCTTTCTCTTCTTCTTTAGATCAGTTTGCTTTTCAATGAAATGTAATATGAAAAATCTGAATAAAACCTTAATTATAAAAAACAGGGGAAAGGATTTGGGCTTCAGCTGAATGTGGTGCCCAGCTCTGCTACCCAGCATGTCCTCCTGGCCCTAAAAATATCGTGCTGCCTCAGGTGTGGTGGAGACACTCTCTCAGCAGTCAGGCTGGGTTAAGGTCCAACTGCTGGTCCAACTTCTGTATGAGGAACGGATGCCATCTTGTAATTCGCCTCAGGTAGCAAAATGTCTTGCGCAGGCCCTGCTCAGGAGACACTGATGAGACCCTTCTTAAAGAACAGAGTATTATTTATTTAGAGGCTGTTTCACGGCACAGCTGCAGGAAGCAGGCAAGGAGCAGTAAAACATGACTCCCCAAACATGGGAGAAATCAGTGGGCAGTTGTGGTTACAGCGTGCAGCGTTCAAAATGCAAAGTGCACAAGACATCTCCAGCAGTCAAGTTTCTCAGCAGTCTCCCAGTGCAGGGAAAGAGGCGGGATCTGGTCTGACCTAGTTGTCAGCCAGCAGAGGTGATCTGGTCATGCCTAGTCGCCTGCTGGTGAATATGGTGTCTAGGCATGGATCCTTCAGACTGGATTTCTGATTCAGCTCCAGGAATTCCTTGGCAGGGAGCCTCTTTGGCACCGCTGGCTCAAAGAGAATATTCTCCCCCAAAATGCAGATAGATCCAGGGTTAAATGTTTTCAAAAGGAAATTATATCCTACTGGATCTTCAAAAAGATATCTAGATGGCTAACAATAAGAAAATGAAAGAAAAAATATTACAAGTAATCACACACACAGAGATTCCAATCAGTCGCCAGTTGAAAATATACTCTGGAAACCAAGCCTTATGAGGAACGGTTGAGGGAGCCGGGTATGTTTAGCCTGGAGAAGAGGAGACTAAGAGGAGACAGGAGAAACATCTTCATATCTCTACTCCAGAGGGTCCAGAGGCTCCAGAGGGTAGGAACCAGACACATGGATTCAAGGTACCAGAAAGGAGATTTGACTAAAAATTAGGAAGAGCTTTCCGATGGTAAGAGTAGTTTGGCTGTGGAAGAGACTGCCTCTGAAGGTTGTGGACTCTTGAGGGCCACTAGGGGGCGCATCAGAAGATGGCTGACAATAACATCTCTCCGACCCACACGAGGTAATTTGGAGGCTATGATGGGAGCAATTAGCCTCCCTACCCCCCCCAGGATGTGGGGGGGACTGCCCTTGCCTGCTGTGCCCTATACCACCCCCGAATTTGTGGGGATGGGGGCACTAGGCACAAAGCCCTCCTGTGGGATTTCGGCGCTCCTGGACGCCGTCCCTCATCTGCGCCACTAGCTGCAAGAACTTCAAAAGAAACAATTTGGATGAAGGAATGCACATATTTCAAGGAAGGAGGGGGAGTAAAGACTGCTAACAGAAGAGATCTCTGATAAAACAAGACAAGTCGGAGGAACAAGAATAAATCATGAGAAGATACGCCAAGACTCGGTATGGCAAATGACTGATGGGGAGGGGGAAAAAAACTTTCCTTTCTTTCCTTATGTGATTAAACAAGAATCCCCTCCCCTTACAAGTCAGAAATGTCGTATTAAGGACTTAAGCTGTGGATTTAAGGCTGTGTGGAGATAAACTTTCGAACCAAAGCATGTTTTAAGAAGAGCGTGGAATGTATAAGAGCTTTGGAATGACGCAGTTAAAAACGCCGTCGCCATATTGGGAAGTTCTGTCGGAGGTCTTGAGTCTGGGAGGAGAAATAGAGAAATAGAGCTGTTTTTATATTGTGGGTGAAACTCCTCAGAGGGACTTAAGAGCGACAGTTTTGCGAGATTAATGATGGAAAGAGCGATGTTATCTATGAAGGCGATGATATATGGAAACCATCTCGATTTGAGGATTGGAAGAACGGAAAAATTCACACAGGATTATTATTGGTGTTTATCGGCTTAAGGAGACTATCAGAAGAGATCATAAAGAAGAAAGAGAAGATATATGAACAAGATGTGATGTGGAAACAGCAAGAAAAGACTGGATAGAATTATGAACTCTGTTTGGATTGATTCGGACTGATTTGGACATTAACGCAGTAGCAAGAAGATGATCAGAATCCCCTTCGGATCTTGAAATATGGGTCCCCCAACAAAAATTTAAAATTCGGCTTTGTAATTCGGAATTTATGTGATGTGATTTAATTTGATTTGATTGGCGGTTAATAAAAATATTTTTTTAAAAAAAAGAAGGTTGTGGACTCTCGTTTACTGAAGGTTTTTAAGCAGAGGTTGGGTGGCCATCTGTCATGGATGCTTTAGTTGAGTTCCTGCATTGCAGGCGTTGGACTAGATGACCCTCAGGGTCTCTTCCAACTCTACAATTCTAAGATTCTATGGATAAGGAATAATACAGAATAAGCATTGCCTCAGAATGGGGGAGAGATCAATCAGGCAGGTCAAAAGCTTGCTAAGACAAAGGGGCCATAAGCAGCTCCTGTCAAGAGCATTCCTGCAACACCTCAAGTTTCCAATCATGTTCCAAAGACTACTAGAGCAGGGAGATTTATGGGCATGTTTTATGCTGTGGTGGTTAGAAGCAGGCCCCATTCACTTTCCTTATTATTATTATTGGCAGTCATCGGAGGTAATACAAATCCCTGGAGAGAACAGCATTTCACCCAGCACCAATTAGACAATAAGTTGGTAGGAACAATGACTGGGAAGCATTTTGTCTGCAGCAACAAAGGGCTCGTTCACACTTCTGTCTGTTCCGTGCCTGGGAAGCATGGTTCCCAGCAGTTTTCCTCTTGTCTCACACTTTCCAGGCACAGCTCCAAGCAATTTTGCCTTTGCCCCACTGCTTTCCCCCAGCCTGCTCTTTAGCGCTAAATCAGAACAAATGGCATTCCATGGAAAACCTGATTGCTGTTAGTTCTGATTCAGCACTAAAGATCAGGTTTCCCCGAGCAAAAGTGGCCGGGCAAATGAAGATGTGGATAAGCTCACCTCACAACAGCTGCAAATGTTTTCACAGCCACCTTCACCCAAGTATGCACACAGAGCAAGAGACTCTGGTCTGAATTACACTCACAGAACCTGAGTTCTCTGCTGATAGCCAAAAGCAAACAAAGGGTGCCTGAAAAGCTATATATGACCCCCTTATTTAAAAAAGTTTACAAAAGCTTCCCCTATTTTCCTAATTTTGCCTCCTCGAGAGGCCTTTTTTACTTCAATTTGGTCATACAGCTTCTGCTCTCCAGGCAGCAGAGGCTCCTTGTTGGCAATTTTCTGTATTAACTCAGCTACTTCCCTCACTTCCTTCAGGGACCGGATTCGCTCCTGATATCCAGGCTTCAGCTCCTGTTCTTCGGACATGATGAGCAGATCAATGTACTCTGGGGTAGAGAGTGGGTTGGGCTTCAGTGCAATCGCCTGAAGGCGCTGGAGGCTTTGAGATGATTTCTGGATAAGCTCTTCTAAGATGTCTTTCACTTCTTCATATTCCTCATTAAGATTTTTAAGCAATTTCTCTGTGGTCATCAGCTCACCAGAGGCACGTTCATACTTTTGCTTCAGTGCTTCATAGGTCCTGCTCTCTTTTCTTGTTGTATATTCAAATTTGTATTGCTGATTGAAGTGCACATTCCACACACACTGGCCAGGACAGACTCTGCATCTTCCTGTGCTCTGATTGATAGCTGCACAACCATGCTTATCTTCATCTCTAGGAATTGCACAAGGATAGTGACAGGTGACGTGACAATACATGCAATTAGTTATGTATTTTCCTGTGCCAGATATATCCGTCTTCACTGGTACAGTTACCTCTACCTCATATGTAAAGTTTCTGTTTGCCGCCATGTCAACCTTATGCTTGTCCAGGGCTTCCTGTGTCTTCCTCAGTTCTTCCAGCTTGGCCAGTGCAGCTTTGATTTGGGGCTGCAACCCTTCAATAGCAGCTTCAAGCTCTTTTCGCTCCCTGAGCACTTCCTTTGTCAATGTTAAGCTCTTCGTTTCTAGTGTGTGGAATGAATCAAAGAAGGTCTTCAAGCTCATGGTGCCCATTTTCCAAAACATTTCATTAAAATTGAAGTTGCCTCCAGGCTCCACAGGATTGTTGGCAAACAGTGCTGAATTGTTGAATTTGAAGTGCACAGGGGTGCCCTTGGCATCCTTAGCGCATGGTACATTGGCTTCCTTAATGGCCTCGAGAACAGGAGGGGTCTGTCCATCTGCAAATGTGATCAGGACTTGGATGTTGTCCTTTATATCTTTGCCAAAGATGGAGAGCACAGAATCAAAGATGTATTTCTGGGCATGAGTTAAACGAGCAGAAGAGGCCTGGACGACAATACAGATGGCGTCTATATGATCAGTGCCCCCTGGGGAGGAGAAAAACTCCCGGATCTGCTTTGTTATCAACTTGTCATGCTCTATTCCTCTTGTGTCTCCAAATCCTGGAGTGTCAATAATGGTGAGGGAATAGGGGACTTGGAAACCCTTGCGGTGGTGGACAACGTAGGCAGTCACTTCTGATGTTTGGCTTTGAGCTTGGCTTCTGTTGGTATTTTCATGAATAAGTTTGAATCGGAATTCATCTCCCCATTGCACACCCAGGACATAATTGATCATTCCATTGATGAGAGTGGTTTTCCCTGATCCTGTTGCCCCCATCACCATAATCACTTTGTTGGGGATCTGAATGTTCTCTTTCCCTAGCTGGTATGTTAGACAGGATCCAGAGGCATCCTGTACAGGCTTCAGTGGCAGAGCATACACTGCTGGTGGCCCATCCTCCACACGGGTGCTGTCTTGGAGGTATTTACAACCTATTCTCTTCTCGTCTCCTTCCAATGATGTGGAAACCTCAATCTCTTTGCTGGGCTCACTCTCAGCCCCACCGTCACACATGACTGAGACTCTGAATCTGTAGGGTGTCTGGGGCTTCAGACCATCAATCTCACAGAACTCTGTTTTCTTCCCTGTTCTTTTTTCAGCCCATTCATCTTTGTCTTTGCTTTTTGCCTCTCCAGCCTCTTCACGGTAGTCCACTTTGTATTCCTTTATAACAGCTCCCTGGCCAATGACCTTTGGGCTCTCCCAGGCTACAGTGATTGTGGAAGACTCTGCGATTATCACTCTCAGTTTCCCAGGAGGGCTGGTAGGACGTGTCTGTACAGATTTACTCACATTGCTGGTCTCACTAAGTCCTGGTTTGCTCCTAGCGCTGTATCGGAATTGGTATTCTGTGTTTGCGCTCAACCCTCTCACTTGGAATGTCTCCTGACTGTCCTCAGTATTCACAATATTCCAGTTTTCTTCTCCTGCAATCTTGTATTCTACCTGATAGCTGGAGATTGAAGCCTTCCCATACTCTGCTGGTTGAAATGTCAGCTGCACATGGTCATGTCCAATTTGGCCAATCAGTGGAGGGAGAGGTTTTGAGGGCAGCTCGAAGTTGCTGCTGAACATCTCCCCATCTTCATAGAGGTAAATGGAAGCTCCTGGGTTGTTCTGGTCTGGGACAGAAGCCACAAGGAACCGGGTTTTCTCATTTGATTTATTGACCTGGGCAAAATGTGTAATGGATTTGGCAGCTTTACGAGCATTCCGAATTCTCTCTTGGTTCTCAAACCAGGCTTTATTGTTCTTGGGTGTCGACTGGCCACTGGTGGAATTTGCTGTTTCCTGAAAAAAATCTTTCTGAAGCCAGTCTTGTAAGCTGACTAAAAATGGTTCCTCATCATGTAAAGAAGTGAAGGTAAATGAGACAACAAACTCATTCACAGGGTTTAGCACAATTTCTTCCAGTTTGTTCTGGGAAGAGATTACTTCCATTCCTCTTAGGATAATAAGGTAAGAATTCACCAAATTAATCTCTCGTTCCTTGGCATCCAAAAACTCACTGAGTCTTTGGCTGTTGAAGGGAGACTGGTTAATGGACATTAAAATGTCCACCAGAACACTTTCCTCTTTCCCCCCTCCCCGGATCAAAGGCAGGATTCCCGCCAGGTGTTTCTGGAAGGTCTGCCTGTGCTGCTTGCCCAGATCCATGAATCTATTGATTTTCACCTTGAATTCTGGGAAGTTTTCTGCAACAGGATTCATAGCCAGATCATTGCATCGCATGTTGATTTCATTCAGTTTCTCCAAGACAGTTTGAGCATCAAAGATCAGTGTTAAGCTGATCTCACGCACCATCTTAGCTGCTCTGGAATCTAGCTTGCTCAGTGGGTACAGCCAAACTCTGACAGGCACAGCCTTCTCTCCATCCTCCCCGAGCTTTTGGGGCAGATCTCTGTAGACTTTCATGGCATCTTGAAAAGTCACCGGATTACTTTCCAAAGAAAAATCCCCATAGAACTTGCAGCTGAAATTCTCCGTTTGGGCTTTCTCCTTCTCCTCTATCTCAACAGATGCTTCCCCTTTGATAGATACTACAATAGTGTTGATCACAGCATGGAGGCTTCCTTGTATCTCTTGCACAGACTCAGAAGAAGAGACATTTCGGTCAAACACAAAGAAAGCCTGGGCTCCATACAAGATGGCAGTGACAACATGGGTGCCTATGCCATGCTCAAAAACAGCTGGATAAGTGATATTTTGGGTTCCCAAATGGCTCATGGTCAGCTGTGAATACTTGGTGGTAGCTTTGTACTGCAGAGTGACTCTGGCCTGTTTTGTGGACTTCTTGGTGTCTTGAAGGAATTTGCCTGATCCACCCACTTCAACCAATCCCCCCAAAAAACTGGCCTTGAGTGATGCTGAGACATTGAGGGCAGAGGCCTTATCATCGATGGAGTCAGATGCAATGATTTCATATTCAGCCTTGGGTTGCGGTTTGATACACAAGTCCTTCTGAAGTGAGGCCTGGTCCCAAAGGGTGATTCCTGGGATAAAGCAGAGAAATATGCAATGCTTGAGTATGTTCACAGAAATGTAGAACACAATTAGCCTAATGCCTAAGGTTGTACAGAGAAACAAGGAGTTAAAATAGAGCTATCACTGTCCACAATGTCTGCACTCATGAATTTTGTCCCACTGTCTCCACAAAGAAAGAGGTTTGTGCAGTTTTGTAAAACTTGGCAAAAGGCAGGGAAAATATTTGACCAGTTATGATAGTGGAACAAGTGTGAACATTTCATGAGCATCTGTTGTACAGGCCTCAGAAAGGGGGTGGGCACTGGCTCAGTAGCAGGGATAAGATTCAATCACCACCATTTAGGGTTTGAACATCTCCTGCTTGAGGCCCTAGAGAGCTGGTGCTAGTTGTAGACTGGCACGGAAAAAATGGGTATATATAAGGAGAATTCCCTGGGGGCCAAGATCCAAGTTGGGACAAAACACTTTGGTGAGAGAACCCCAGCAGATTTAAAATCACAAAATATGCAGCAAAGCAAAGTGTGGAAATTTAGGCTGTCAGACGTTTAAAATATGTGCTTGTGAGCTCCTTCCAAAATAGTCCGTCCCCCCACCCGGCACTGAAAAGGACCACATCTTTGGTAAGTTCATAATGGTTTACTTAAAAACTCTCCAAAGGTCAGATTCATGTCCTTTTCCATATAGCAGTCAGAAAACACAGGTTGTAAAACTTGGCTTAGTCAGGGAACTGCCATCAGCTCAGAGGCAAGAGGTGGAAGAGCAGCTGTGTTACAGGGAGCCTCCAAAGATCATGCATAGCAGCTCTTCCGCAGGTGAGGAGGGAAGCCATGCCTCCAGTGGGGAAGGGATGCAGGGCTCGGAGAATGCTAGAGAGAGCTGCAACACCGAGCCTGAGCAAAGCGAGGGGGAGGAAGTCCCCCTTTGCCCACACCCTCTCTGCGCAGTCGGTTTAAGCGCAGAGAGGGGAGGCGTAGGATGGGGGTCAAAAGACTGCTATGCTGGGGAAAGTTTAAGGACCGCCCACTCCCAGATTCTGCTAGCGACTGAGCAGACATGCAATTGAGACGCTCTGCACAGTGAATGTTTGGATAGATCATAGAATCATAGAATCATAGAATTGGAAGAGACCACAAGGGCCATCGAGTCCAACCCCCTGCCAAGCAGGAAACACCATCAGAGCACTCCTGACATACGGCTGTCAGGCCTCTGCTTAAAGACCTCCAAAGAAGGAGACTCCACCACACTCCTTGGCAGCAAATTCCACTGTCGAACAGCTCTTACTGTCAGGAATTCTTCCTAATGTTTAGGTGGAATCTTCTTTCTTGTAGTTTGGATCCATTGCTCCGTGTCCGCTTCTCTGGAGCAGCAGAAAACAACCTTTCTCCCTCCTCTATATGACATCCTTTTATATATTTGAACATGGCTATCATATCACCCCTTAACCTCCTCTTCTCCAGGCTAAACATGCCCAGCTCCCTTAGCCATTCCTCATATTAAAGCTTTATTATAAAGATAATAAAGCTTTGAAAAGACCAGTGGGAGTCTTGCCTGTTCGCTCTTGAGCAACCACGCCGGCACACATAACAGTTACAGTGGTGAAAGTTGTTAACTTATTGGTACAGGAACACCACAATGGATTATAGTCCCTCCAGGTGTCCCTATTTTCCAGGGACAGTCTTGGATTTACAGAAGCCATCCCGGTTTCTGATTTGATCCCTGAATGTTCCACTTTCCCTTAGGCTTAGGACATAGATATTTTCATCAGAGAAATGTTGGAGGGTGTGGAGTTATGTGTCCCTCCTGAGCCAAGGAGAAAAGTAGACAACCTATAGAAGACCTGCTGAATCTTTATTGGCAGATGTTGATGATGATTATTTGGGCCAAGATGATGCCAGCAAGGTTAAGGAGCAAAGATGCTATCAGGGGCAAGAAGACTTCTTTTTAATAAATGGAAGTCTTGTCTAAATGAAGAGAACATAAAGGAACACAAACTTTGGCAAAAGATGTGGAAGCAGACAGTAAGGGATGTTGAACATGAATTTGAAGAGCACATTTAGGACTAAAACTGCACTGTTTGGGCCGACTGCTAATCCTGATATGAGTAATTTTTGTTTTTCAGTACAGTGGTACCTCGGGTTACAGATGCTTCAGGTTACAGACTCCGCTAACCCAGAAATAGTACCTCGGGTTAAGACCTTTGCTTCAGGATGAGAACAGAAATCTTGCAGCAGCGGCGTGGCGGCAGCGGGAGGCCCCATTAGCTAAAGTGGTGCTTCAGGTTAAGAATAGTTTCAGGTTAAGAATGGACCTCCAGAACGAATTAAGTTCTTAACCCGAGGTACCACTGTATAAGCTCTTCCTTGCACCAGCTCTACCTGGGATGAGGGCATCTTCACGACAGTCGTACAGCATCCCCAGCTGGAATGGGCGGCCCAGGGCTGGTATTTCAACCGGGTTGTCTGATCTGTCCATGGCTCTGGTCCAGGTTGCTCTCCTGCCTTCACCTCCCTGCAAGAAAGAAGAGATGTGAAGGACTCTGGAAAGATTATTGGGCATGCAAAGCGTGTGGGGGAAAGAGGAAGATTAGCACTACCATCCAAAGAGGGATGCTGACATGCCGTCAGGGCCAAAAAAAGGGGGGGGTAATGTCTCATCAGGGGCGGGGGGGGGGGATTAGACGTTTGTATGCAGTAGTTGCACATGTTCAAGGCAGCTTGTGCAACTGATCTTCTTGCTTCCCTCCCATCCACAGCCCCCTGTTGCAGCTGAAAACTCTATCCTGTGATCCCTGAACAAAGGGGACTGTGTCACACAGAACTGCAGAGGGTGGGGAAATCACCCTGAAACTCAGAAAGGGATCATGTGCCAATGGGGTCTCTGCTAGGACAGGATTCCTAGGCCCAAAGTCAGGGGAATCCCACTGCAGCCCTGTATGGCAGACACTACACTATCCAGGCCCTCTGGAAAGGGTTTGGGCGGGCACAAGGGGTCACAGGAGCTGGAAGGGAAGATCAATATTTTCCAGGAACAACCACTGGATGCTTCCGACACTAAATTTCCACTTGGCTGAGAATTGTGCCTGCTGAGAACATTTCGGATAGTAGAGAAATATTTTACCACTACCACCACCAGTTTTATATGCCAACTGCACAGTATTCAAGGAGGCTATCAAAGTCAAATCACATAACAACAACAATAATTATGGCAGAAATCATGAATGATGCTGCCATAGCTAACAGCGAGATACACAAAGTAGTATTTGGCAGAAACAAACTGCAGTGGAAGCAGCGCTGATCATGATGAATATAAGCTGAAATGGAAGTTGCTGCTCTCTTATATTACTACTTGTGCTGCACCAAGAAGTTTATGGCACAATGGGAGTCAAATTACTTGTAGAAAATCTTTTGTAGAGGAACACAGAATTGTAGAGTTGGAAGGCACACCCAAAGGTCATCTAGTCCAATCACCTGCAACACACAGCTGAAGAATCCCTGGTGGCCATCCAACCTCTGCTTGAAAACCTCCAAGAAAACCTCCACCTGGGAGTCTTCTCCAGGCTAACCATACCCAACTCCCTCAACCACTCCCCCCAAAAGCTTGGTTTCCTGACTCTTCATCATCTTGGTCTCCTGCCCCAGCACACGTTCCAGCTTGTCAGTATCTTTCTTAAACTGTGGCGCCCTGAACCTTACAAAGTACTCCAGGTGTGTTGGAAGGGACCCCCTAGAGTAATCTAGTCCAACCCCCTGCAATGCAGGAATCTCAGCTAAAGCATCCGTTTACATTTAACTATTTCCAGGGTCTTTCTTTATTAAGACTTTGACTAGGTTTCCTGTTCATTAAATGTCTCCCAATACCCTTTCCCATCTGTCTGCAAAACCATTCAAGATTAATCCCAATTGCCCTGTCTAGCCGATTCTCTTTTCAGGCATACGGTGACCACCATAGAGCCCATAACAATTTATTCTTTTCAGTGTTCTGGAACAGACGTTCACTACATGCAGTCCCTAAAAGCAACTAGTTCTGTACTGTAAAAGGCAGGTAGAGATCTTTTCAGTTTAGCTAGGCCATAAACCAAAAAGTAAATGGAATAATCAAAATGAGTTTTATGAAATTATTGTTTTCTCCAACACACACACACACACACACACACACACACACACACGTGCGCGCACACACACCCCTGACCAGAAAACCCGAATCAGTTGTAGGGTGGGATGTATTTACTCTGGTGAAAGGAAATCTCTCCCTTTCTGGGAAAGGCTCTGGCTGGGGAGAAACCTTCCTTACAACTGGCCTTGACCGGCTGTGAACTTGAGTTCCCTGTGCCTTCGCCTCTTTTGCCTTCACTGCACTTGGAAGAGCCCAGTCTGAACTCCCTGCACTCTGAGCACCAGATCCAGCCCCACTTGGAAAAATCAACCAGTCCAGAATGCAGCAGCCAGATTACTGGCCAGACTATGAATGGGTTGGCAGAAACAGTTGCAGATTTGGTAGGAGTGTGTGGCTGGAATAATATTGAAGCTGCCAAAAGGGAGAAGAGCAGGGCCAAGCTTACAAGACAAGGCTGCTCATGTTTGCTCCTATTTCTTTCCCTTTTCGTAGAAATTTAGATATCCAAAGAGGGCTTCCTTCAGAGTAATATCCTTACCCCCACATCCAAGAGAGCCAGTGTGGTATAGTGGTTAAGAGTGGTAGACTCGTAATCTGGGGAACTGGGTTCGCGTCTCCGCTCCTCCACATGCAGCTGCTGGGTGACCTTGGGTTGTCAGCACCCGGGGCAAGGCAAGTAATTTGCGCCCCCTAACCCATGGATTTTAGCAGGGGGCAGAGAGCTGCGAGTGCGAGCACCCCCCCCAGATGTTGTGCCCGGTGCTGCCGGCCCCCCCTTCACCCCCCACGCTACGCCACTGCTTGGGCCACTCACACTTCACTGCTCAAGCAGTGGCGTAGCGTGGGGGGTGCAGGGGGGGCCGGCAGCACCGGGCACTCACCTCACAGAGTGTTTGTTGTGGGCGAGGAAGGGAAAGGAGATTGTTAGCCACTTTGAGACTCCTTTGGGTAGTGATAAAGCGGGATATCAAATCCAAACTCTTCTTCTTCTCTTCTTCAAGGAGACCAGGACCACACCTGATGGGGCATTAGGTACCTCCAGCACCCAGCTGTTCATCCCACCACATTCCCTAGTGTGATATTCTACTAGGGAAGGTCATCCTAACCACCTTGCAGCTTGTCAACCTCCTTCTTAAATTGTGGTGCCCAGAACTGGACACAGTATTCCAGGTGAGGTCTGACCAAGGCAAAATAGAGTGGGACTATTATTTCCCTTCCTCTGAATGCTAGACTTCTGTTGCTGCAGCCTAGGATTGAATTAGGTTGGGGGTTTTTTTAAACTGCTGCATCTCACTGTTGACTCATTTTAAGCTTGTGGTCTACTAAGACCCCTGGATCCTTTCTACATATTCTGCCAGCAAGCCAGGTGTCCCCATTTTATTTTGGGCATCTGTTTATTACTTCTAAGTGCAGAAACTGACATTTTATCCCCATTGAAATCAGTGTTGTTAGTCTTGCCCCAGTTCTTTAGTCTGTTATAGTCATATTGACTATTGATTCTCTCTTCTTCAGTATTAACTACCCATCCCAGTTCAGCGTCATCTGCAAATTGGATGAGCATCCCTTTCTGTCCAAGTCAACAAACACAAACCCTGGTTAAGTGCCAAGACTTTGCCTGTGCTCACAAAATCTGCTAAGGAGATTTCAAGCTTGCTGCCTTTAGCTGCAATCACTATAAACCGTGTCTACATGTTCAGTGTATGCCCTGCTGTCTTGTATGTATTCTATATTCATTATGAATTTTTTTTAATGTATTCTATATTAACCTTGTTTATGATCGACATTTTTGTATTCACTCATAGGAAGTTTGATTCTTGCTAGATTAGAAAAATAAACATTAATGCCTACTCTCGTCACCCCTAAACAGAGTTCAAGGCAGTACACATTTCAGCAGCACAACAGATCTGACAAGGAAATGGGTTCTGCAATTTGCCACCTGCTCTCAGCCTCTCTTCCTGGGCAGCAGACCTTTCATTCAATGACTTTGCAAGGAGGGAAGATTCCTCCTATAAGAGTAGGGAAAAGCCAAAGGTGTGAGATAGCAGAAGTGGAGTTGGAGCTGAGTTCCACGTATGCTCTGATTGCAGAAAGTGGGCAGGATGCCAACCCTTTGAAGATCCCTCAGTTTCTCTTGACACCCCCAGCTTTCCCCCAAGATGAGGCCAAAGGAAAGGTAGGGCAGAGAGGGAGAGAAAGAGATCTGATGCAGGTCTCCCCCAAATTGCGAGGATTAAGAGCAATCTCACACATGTTGCAGTCTTAAAATAGGAGAAAGGGGCAGAGAGTAGAGAAGAATAAACAATGGGGGATGCCATCAGTGACTGAAATACTTTCTCATTAATTGATGGAGACTGGTAAAACAAACCAAGGGAACACACAGAAATGTCCAGGATGCAATAGCCCAGATGGTCCACAGCCGCCTGCCCCCCTCCCTCCTGCAAGGAAGCAACTGGCAGCAGCAGAGGTGCTCAGCATCTTAGGAGTCAGGGCAGGGGTCCCCCTAGTCCCACCCCAAAGCCCAGGAGAGCCTTGCGCTGCAGCCTTCATTCCTTTGCTCCAAGTCTGGGCCAAATCAGGATGGATTCGTGGCCTTTCCAAAGAGCCAGAGAGCAGGAGGCGAGGGCATCATCAGCGCAAGATCCCGTCACCAAGTCCCCTCTGCAACATGCCAGCTGGAACGGTTTGCAGTAGCCATGCAAAAGAAGCCTTTGACAACAAAAGAAGCCGCGACAACTTCTAATGTGCAAATGCGTCTTACCAGAAACGTGGAAAATGGATGAATCTTGCCTCCAAGTGGCTCTCTTGCTTGAGTTTGTCTCGACTTGCGTTGGTCCCCTCTTAAAGCACAAGTCTGTTTCGGTCACAGAGGCCACTTCTCCTTTTATCTATTTGGGAGTGACAAAGTGCAAGGAGAAAAACATCACTTTCAGGAGGAGAAGGAAGTTGCGAGATGGTGGAAGCCGTTCCCACTCGTCAGCATTTCACTCCAAAAAGGCTCTTAAACAGAGCATCATAGAGTTGGAAGGGACCCCAAGGGCCATCTAGTCCAACCCCCTCCTGCGGCCTCCCCACAAGTCGGATCCATGCAGAATCAAGGTCCTTAGTTGCACAACCCTCCCTTTCCTAGTATCTGGACCCAAAATGGATCTATGGATACAGCAGACATTGACATCACCGGATCTGTTCTTCCCCCGGGGCTTTTGGGAAAGAGGTTGTCAGCAGGGCCTCCATCTTGGCCTCAGACATGTGGGCTCTTGGCAGCAGAGGAAGGTTTCCCTCGACACTGAGCCACAATCAGCCTCAATTTATATGAGATTAGGAGAAAAGAGGCTTTCTGGAGCAAAAGCAGTCAACCCCTG